AAATTGCAGCCCTTTTAAACAAGTGCAAGCACAAATCGGAGCACCCAGCCAGTGGGGGCCGCCCTTTTAAACAAGGGTGTACCTTTTATTCACCCCTTTTAAACAAGCCTTGGGTGTACCGTAACGGTTCATTCAGCCTTTTTAAACAAGGGTGTACCGTTCATTCAGCCCTTTTAAACAAGCTACACCCTTGAGTCGCCCACGTTGCTGAATGATCGGTCTAAAGAAGGTCAGCTCGATGATGATGATGATGATGATGATGATGATGATGATGATGATGATGATGATAGCACAGTGCGGCCGGCCCTTTTAAACAAGCGCAAGTACAAATCCCACGTCCAACGCAGCACCCAATGCATGTGGCTGAATGAATGACGTACACACCCTTGGATTTCTGCATGGGTTCGAATCCTGATGGGTTTAGATGAACACGATCAAATAGGTCCAAGGCCGGTCAGCTTGATGATGATGAGGATAATAGCACAGTGCGGCCGCCTTTTTTTTTTTTTCCCTTTGGTAAGGCTAATTCCTTAAGCCCAAGCAATTCAATTACCTGTCGAATCTGGACAACAAGTGCGAATAAAGAAAGGGAAAATAAGTAAACAAAAGCAAATTACTAAGAAGCACGGCACCGACAAGCGTACGAAAAAAAAAAATAAAAAAAAATCACGAAAGATGATGGACACGTAAGATTGATTATCAACTCAAATCTCGTCATACGTCAACAGTTCATAACACACATGCAGTACACACATGTCATACACGGTTGACAAAAAACCAATCGTAAGTGATATACAATTGAAATACAACAGGTATATAAAAAAAAAAAAAAAAAAAAAAAACAGGTATGAACAGGTGTGCGTCCCCGACGTTTCGACAGGTATGGACACGTAAGACCAGATGCTGCACGAACTGTATCTCGTTTTCTTTTTCTTTCGCTTTTTTCTTTTGCTTTTTTCTTTTGCTTTTTTCTTTTGCTTTTTCTTTTGCTTTGTTCTTTTGCTTTTTTTTTTTTTGCTTTTTTCTTTTGCTCTTTTCTTTTGCTTTTTTCCTTTGCTTTTTTTTCTTTTGCTTTTTGTCTTTTGCTTTCTTCTTTTGCTTTTTCTTTTGCTTTTTTCTTTTGCTTTTTCTTTTGCTTTTTCTTTGTTTCACAACCGTAACTAAGGAGCTTGAGGGCGAACTCACACTAGGACTGTTTTACTCCATTTGTGGACGTGATTGCGGTCAGATTCATCTATCTCTGGCCGTAATTGCTGTCAGATTCATTTCGGAAATTGCTAGTGTGAGTATGCCCTGAGATTGGCAAACGCCCTGGGCCGAGGTCCCACTACCAAAGAGGATTTCATAATTAAAAAAAAAAAAAAAAAAAAAGAAAGAAAGAAAGATAGGATTGGATGTAACTCCTGAATTTGATGCAGGTAACCGGTATTGATCCGCTTTTCTGTATCTCTGCTTAAAACCCATCCAGATTCAGGAACAATAATCTTTACGGCTGCCCTATCCTTCTTTTTTTTTTTGTCCTTTCGGGAGCTGAGGAACCAAGCGCGCGTAGCGCATGATAATAGTGACTCATCCACTGTTCCCACTCACGGCGTCCTTACGCTAGGACTTTTTCGACTCACCTCTGGAAGCAATTACCACCGTATGCATGCACGAGCCCTTCTTTCAGGTCACATGCATCCAGGACAGTCCTGCTTTGTCCTCTCAGTTCCTCTCTCTCTCTCTCTCTCTCTCTCTCTCTCTCTCTCTCTCTCTCTCTCTCTCTCTCTTAACTCTCCCTCTCTCCCCCTCTCTCAACTCTCTCAGCTCTGTCTGTCTGTCTGTCTGTCTGTCTGTCTGTCTGTCTCTCTCCCACACACACACACACACACAAAAAAAAAAAAAAAAAAAAAAAAAAAAAAAAAAAAAAAAAAAAACACGCACACAGATACACGTGGGCGCGCGCAGATCTATCTGTAATAATCATGCTTCTTATGAGCATTTGATGTACTTTTCACGTACAGTTGTTTCACTTTTACTGAGGAGTTATTTTTCAGTGGAGATGATTTACGCGGGAACTTAAGGCAGTGAAAAATTTAGCCGGGCGCGTGTACGCTACTGCATGTCCGCACATCCGCACAAAGATGTGCGGGCATGCACACGTACCCACTTTGGCGCCCACTTAATGTGCTCAAGGAGAGAAGACCGCAAACAATACACACGGTGATCAATCCGTGTTAATCAATTGACGCGCGTGACGTGTACCATTAATCGCTGGACTGGAAGGGATTCGAACCAGACACCATCTCCTCTTCGATCCTGTGGCTACGATAAGATAAGAATGAGAATGAACGCTAGCGATATGGTTTTTTTTTTTTTTTTTTTTTTCCCCCCCCCCCCTTACGCTAGCCATATGCTTAACACATGCAAGTCGAACGTTGAGTCGAACGCTGAGTCGAACGCTTCGAGCCTGTATATTATTTTTATCTCATTATTGTTATTTTATTTTTTTTATGTATGAGTTAGTTATTATATTATTTATTCTCGTCTATTGTAATATGGCATCATCCTTGTATCTGATTACCAGGGCCGTGGTCCCACTAGCGAAGGGGATAGAATAGAAATCCTGAATCTGGCTATGTTTCATGCAGAGATACAGAAAAGCAGTTTTATCTCGATTTCCTGCTCCTGTCCTCAAACACGTCCAGATTCAGGCATTCAATCCGATGCTCTTTGCTAATGGGACCACGGCCCAGGATAAGTCGGCCTTCGGCGGTCGACTGCGTGTGATGCGACTGCTGTGGACGGCTGAGCTCGCTGCCTCACAATAAAGGGGGGAAAAAAAAAAAGAAGAAGAAGAAGAAGAAAAAAAAACTTAAAAAAAAGAAAAAAAGAAAAAAGAAAAGAACAAAAAAAAAAAAAAAAAAAAAAA